ATGGTCTTCCTCACTCTGTGGCGTCAGCGGGGCCTTCAAAGGTGATGGAGGATGCCCGAAGGCGTGTATGCCCTTACAGGCGCTTCAAACAATTTGCAGGAACTGAAGAACTTTATAAGAGACTAGGGGCGTAAGTTGGCGGGGACTTTCGTAAGGACCCTTCTTTCCCCGTCCTTGGTGAACGATGGACTTCTCCCCCCGAATTTGGTTGGCGACATGCTTCTCTTGCCTGATTTTGTGGGAGATGCACGACACTCGCCAACAGTACGGATAGCAAAGTCTAGCAAGGAGAGCATTTCCATAGCGTGTTTCCCTCACTCGGGGCGGAGGGTGTAGAGGATGCGACGGATGACCGTTTGAGCTTTGACGCCTGTGCAAAGAAGGGGTCGGGTAGTGAGCGCTGATTTGCGGCGCTCTTGGATGGCCTATAGAATGGAAATTAGTTGGAAGATATATCACGGGAGAGAAATGGTGGGAAAGGGGGGGGGGATTAAGCGAGACAAAGGATTCGAGAAGTCCCATCCAATGATGGGTCACCGGTAAGGTTATGGCGTTGCGCAAGGAAAGGAAGGCGAGGAGAGGCAGGTGATGTGCCAGGATGGATCTAAGCAAATGTAGTAAGCTCCCATGCGCCTGAGTATACGACTTGTAAAAGCTCAAATCAATTCCAGACGCCATTCATACACTCCCATATCATCCTCATATCCGAAGTCCCAGCTTCAGAAAAGAAAAAAGAATGCACTCACCTTGAATGTTCGCCTTCTCACTCATAGCATCGTTCCGAACACGGCCCCTACATTCTCATCCCTGAACCTTGACTCCTTTCACAACCATCGATTAAGGCGTGAAAGCCTGCCAACGTACATAGTTTATTTATTTAGGCATCAGTGTATGTATTATAGGCAAATAATCCACGCACCTTTCTTTCCAGAAACACAATTTCCACGTACAGAGCATTGATCTCTGGATAATAGAGGCGCACACTGCACATCCGGTCGCGTCCCAAAGGTAACCGTCTCCTAGTCAATTTGGAATGCTGCTACCTGTTCTGTCGACGTCCGTTTAATCAGTCGCAGCATACCAAATGGCCCTATTTCGCTGTCGTCCAGGTGATAACACTGATGAGTAAGTTCAAGCAAGACTTGGGCAGTGTTTGGTTTGGTTCGTGTCATGCAGGTCATGTGATCGCGTCATTCATAGCACGAAACAACTTGTGTACCGTCGTCAACCACAAGAATGCCGCATTTGAATATCATTAAGTGTGAAGTGTATCGCAAGCTTAAGTATCATGATCAAGAATTACAAGTGCGGCACCAAACTAGTCCACGACACCGCCTTGTATGCGTCAGGAGGAAGATTGCGTAAAGTGGTGAACATGAGTACCAGGAGAACGGCACGTGCTACGACGTAGGACATGACACATAATACAAAGTACGAGGTGGTCACCGCATCTGGTATATCCAGTGCTGTAAGGAGAGGTAGAGCGAGGAAACCAAGCCAGGGTGTGCAAGTTATAGCGACGGCACTCGTGCGCCATAGCACCTGTTCCTGGTATGTGGGGAAGGCAAAAAACCAAGCCATACAATGGATGCCGCCAAATATGGGTGCCATAAGAAATCCAGCAAGGAAAAGAACTGCAATGTCCGACCCTTTGAGTTCGCCGCTGCCATCGAATGTTGGAACTCGGAGCTTTTGAGATGGAACACCGAATATCAGTTCTGGAATTGGACGGAAGACCGGAATCAGGTATTCAACGAGTTGGTCTTTTTCAGCGACACTAAGCCAGACATAATCAGCAGCGGTATAATGGTTGAGGTGCATACATACTTAGCAATGTGATCCCCTGGCCATGACCCGGTCGACTTCCAGTACACTGGATACGGACATTGCACATCGAGAGGCTTATTCCACCACGCAGCATAGGTGAGGAAATTGAGGACCGCAAAAGCGAGTGTCCCCACTTCCAGCTGGGTGGTTTCGAGGTGATAGATGGCGCGGGTGATGAGCTGCATAATAAACCAGGCCACTTGAAGCAGGACCAATCCTTTCGATATCGCATTGCCTTTGCTTTTGTCATGGATCCGCTTTGCCGTTAGGATAGGAACATCTATACACTCTTCATGTATCAGTTTGAGAATGTGATTAGGCTCTAGTGTACGGTAGGGTTGCCCGTCCACATAAAGCATGAAACCACCCATCAGCACAAAGAAGCTGTGCGTCTGAGTCCACGTATAATCTAAGAATGCACATGATTCGACGTTTAGGTGAGCACGAATCGGGCTTACCTTCAGATTGCTCTGAAACATAAACCTTAAGCACCTTTTTAAATGGCTTCGCAAGAGCACGAGTCCATCCATATCTTGGGGTGGGCGCTGGAGTAATATGAACTGCCGAAGGAACACCAGTACAGATGACGGTTTACCTTCGGGATGCGCTACGAGAAACCGGGGGCTATCATGATCTTGAAAAGCAGGCAAGTCATCAGGAAGCGTATTCGGGGTGCAAAACAGAATGTCGAGCTCACCTTCAACATATTGCTCTGCAGTTGTTGCGATGGACCCATGATCTAAGGACATGCACAGTGAGTTGACGAACATATCCAGTTTCAGAAAGAATGATTCACTTTCAGACTGCTCCTGCGGCTCAGAAGCCTTGAAACATCCCGACTCCTTGAACTGTCTTGTAACATCGCGAGCACTGCACCATTGACGTATAGCCCATATGACGATAAGTTCAGGGACGATGAGTGCCATTATCATGATCCCAAATCGCCGCCATAGGATGCGAAGGGGGCTGTCCTTGGGACTTGGAATGTTAGGATGAATGGCAGTGTATATGCATGCAAATAGAGTGAGAACGGAGGTGGAGATGATGGACCATATGGTTCTAGTCGTGAATGTTGGGGCTTCAAAATTGTCGCTCGTAGTAGTATTTGTTGTATTGGTAGGTACAGCTCGGATTACTCCAACAAGGTAAAAGAAGACACAAAGTGCTAGTAAGCGCATTATTTTGGGGTACGGTATCGTATGCATCCTACTCACTATTTGTATTTTACTGGTGGGCGTCATCTCAAGGCAGCACGATGTACAAATGAGGCCTGACTTGCCTGATGTTTGCAGCATGGCTTGCAAGCGGATGGAAACTTGGAAGTAGGGGTTGATCAAGTTGCTAGCGCCCAACACTGCAATCAATCAAGGGACACTGACCAGTTCAAGGCTCACATGCACGTAGTGGAATTCATATTCTGATTCTGATAGGCTGTTCTCGATCATCTAGGGCCAACCCTTGCCCGTCCAAGACTCCAAATCCGTCAGTCTCTTGGCAAGGTTATGAATGGCTCGCCTACAAATACTTCTGTGGATCGACGAGGATGCGTAAGTACTGAGCGTCTTGGAATAATACTGAGAGCGTGCAAAAGCGGTTGAAGGATTCCCAGTGCCCACAGCCCCGACCCACCATGTTCTTCCGAACAACTGACCATAGCAAACGCTTCATCGGCTCCGAACATCATGGGTTCAAACTTGTGCTTCACTTCCTTTGACTATCTGTGAATTCTGGTGCCCGCGATAATCCTCCCGGTCCTCAATCGACATACGCTTCACGTCTGACAACTCCATGAATACAGTTTGAGGGCCTCCAGATCAGCTGTAGCATCCACTACCAAAACGCACCAGTGGATTTCAATATTACAGACAATATCTAGGACACGTATCCCAAGCCCCTCAGGAAGTTCCACACTCTTACAGGGAAGATCTGAGATCTAGAATCTTCATCGATCGGGGCGAAACTAATCCCATGTCACATATCACAATACATCCCTTCGACTTTAATGGCCCCAACAACTTGCGGTTAAGGGCGTGGCCTGGTATCAAGATGTGGCACTTTCTCGAACCACGCTCAGACTGATCGAGTACTGATCGAGATCCACGACATCCTCTCGATCGCAGTCGAATCAACCCAGCCGTATGTGCAGACGTACTGTCTTTCGCATCAAATGTACGTTTGGTTTCGTTCTCGTTCTTGTTGCCTGATTAGCTGTTATCTGTGCCCATTCTACAATCTGAGATCATTCACAGACCAAGAAATCTCCAATAAGCTGTTGGGTTCAGGGCAAGCTGCGCATTCGTGTATTTCCATGCTGTTAGTGGCTGGTCGACACGATAGACGCTGGTCCTGCAGCCTTTCCACCTTTATCGATAATGCAGATCACATCGGTTATAAGTTGGCACGCATGCATGATAGAATTAAGACCACAGCATGTTTGGGGCATAGGGAGGACAACTACGGCAGCGTGTTCCCATCTGTCGGTGTGGGCGCAGTGGAACTGGAGCAGAAAGGTCATAGCAACCGTATGCATGTACATCGAGATACTTGCTCCATGTGAGAAATCAATGAATCAGGCCTTGGCTGGTGCATCGATGTCCGAGTCTGCACCGCTTCGGCGTATACTATATGTATCATCTTCAAGGTTCCGTCAGCCAAAATACAGTGAGTTTGAGGCCATGCTAAAATGGAGCGGGCCGAGAACGATATTGATCCCCAAAGATAAAACTGTTGGCAAGGCGCCTCCTGGGGCTTTGGGCATCAGCTTGCAATGGAAGGAGGAAATCGGAAAATCTCGTCGATGATCCAGGACTCGACGCCAAGGGACGCAGATAATCAAAACAACTTGTACGCCCTCGCAGACGATTGACATATTGGCAGGTCATGAACATAAGCATTCCGTGAGCAATACAGAACGCCGGCTATCCCGAAGACACGTCACTGGGAAATTGGTCGCCGGTAAGCATATGGCGTTACGCAATGAAAAAGAAGTGAAGATAGGCGGACGATGCGCAGGGAAGAAGCAGACACGACGAGTGCCCGTGTATATGTACCCTGTATCAGCTCACATCAACCAAAAACGCCAACTGTACACTCTCATATTCGACTCCCCACCTCGAAAAAATAAGCAATGCACCCACCATCATCCCATCCTCACTCACTCGTGTCCTCCAGAATCAGGCTTTCACTCCATCTGCAGCCGTCGATGGTGAGGCGTGCTTCGTCAAAAATGACGAGGATCGAAAGTCTGCCAGCGCAAATGGATGTCAGTGTGTGTAGGTATTATAGGCAAATAGGCCACCCACCTGTCTTTTCAGAAACACAATGTCCGCGGGTAGAGCATTGACCTCTGAGTAATAGAGATGATACTGCACGCCGGGTCGCGTCCAAGATAATTGTCTCCTCGCCGATCGGAAATGCTGCTACCTGTTCATCAGTGGCCCATTTCATCGGCCACAGTGTACCAAACATCCCTAATTCGCTGCCGTCCATGGTGATAAGGAAGTTCAAGCAAGACTTGGGCAGTATTTGTTTGGTTCGCGTCATACCACACGTGCAGGTCATGTGATCACGTCGTTCATAGTGGTTGCGAAACAATTCATGTACCTAGCTGTCGACCCTGCATCTGAACACCATTACAAAAGTATGAGGTGTATCACGAGTAAGTATCATGATCATGAATTATAAGTGCGGCACTAAACTAGTCCACGACACTGCCTTGTGTGCGTCAGGAGGAAGATCTCGTAAAGTGGTGAACATGAGTCCCAAGATAATAGCACGTGCTGTAGCGTACAAGATAGCATATAATGCTGCTACCATTTTGGCCACGACATCTGGTGGTTCCAGTAATGCAAAGACCCACACAGTGAGCACACTAACCCAGGGTGTGCAAGTTATAGCAACGGCACTCATGCGCCATAGCACCTGTTCCTGGCGTGTGGGGAAGGTAACAAACCAAGCCATGCAATGGATGCCGCAAAATATGGTTGCCATAAGCAACGCGGCAAGCAGAAGAACCGACCGGTCTGAATTTTCGAGTTTGATGCTGCCACCAAATGTTGGGACTCGGAGCTTTCGAGACGTGGAAATTTCAGGCAAGCCCATCAGTTCTGCAATTGGGCCGACGAAGATCCGAGCTGAGCACGTTTGTGTCTTTCACAGACACTAAAGCAGACATCATTAGCAGCAGTGTAATTGTTGAGGCGCGTACATACTTAGTGATGTGATTCTCCGGCCTATCGCTCGACTTCCAGTACACTGGATGTGGACATTTCACATTGAGAGGCTTGTTCCACCACACAGCATATGTGAGGAAATTGAGAACCGCAAAAGCGAGTATTCCCACTTCGAGCCGGGTGGTTTCGAGGTGATAAATGGTGCGGGTGATGAGCTGCATAACAAACCAGGCCGCCTGAAGGATTATCAGTCCTTTTGATATCGTATTGCCTTTGCTCCTGTCGTAGATCTGCTTTGCTGTCAGGGTAGGGGCATCGATACAGCCGGCACGTATCAGTTTGAGGACCTCGCCAGGCTGCGGTGTATGGTATGGTTTTTCATCCACATAGATCATGAAACCACCCATCAGCACAAAGAAGCTGTGCGTCTGAGTCCACGTATAATCTAAGGATGCACATGAGCCAACATTTGAGTGAGCACAAATTGGGCGTACCATCAGATTGCTCTGAGAAATGAGCCTTAACCGACCCCCTGACCGACCTCGCAAGAGCACCAGAGAAATGCCAAAGAAACATTGGTACAGACAATACATCTTTAGCAAGCACTACGGGAAGGAGGCGAAGGAAGCGATTTTCGCGTTGCTCGTGTGGTTGAACTGACATGTATAGTACATAGTGAGTTGTGAGATGCAGAGTTTCCGAAAGCACAACTCACTTTCAGACTGCTCCTGCTTGGGACTAACCCTGGGATACCCCGCGCCCTTGAACTATCTTGTAACACGACGAGCTCCGAACCACTGGCGCATAGCCCAGGCAACAATCAGTTCAGGAAATAATAGTGCCATTATCATAATCCCAAGTCGCCGCCGTAGGATACCATTAGGACTGTCCTTGGGACTTGGAATATTGGCGTGAATGGAGTTGTATATACACGCAAATAGAGTGAGAACGGAACTGAAGATGATGGTCCATAGGGTTCTGGTCGTAAATGTTGGGGCTTTAAAACTGTCGCTAGTAGTAGTGTTTGTCGTATTTCTTGTAGGTGCAGCTTGGATTACTCCAACAAGGTAGAGGAAGACGCAAAGAAGCACTGCTAAGTGCATTATTGGGTGTCACTTTAGGGCGTATCGCGTGCATCTTGCTCACTATTTGTATTTTATTAGCGGGCGTCATCTCAAGGTAGTACTTAATCTTGAATCATCAATTGGGTACCAATTAATGAGGTGGCTTGGCTTGCTTGATGTTTGCAGCATGACAAGCGAAATGTAATTACATAATTTCAATTGAAGTACTTTTATAAATACTTCGCCCCGATTCTCGATTGGGCAGTCACTGAGCTCAAGAGAACCAAACTACAGCCGGTCCAACAGAAATCCACATTCTGTGAACCGCACCGTGTCAATGCAATGTCTTATATCCACTCATCAGCGCCCTCAAGTCGATCGCCACAGTATCGAAGGCTTGCTGGCGCCTCAAGAATGGGTCTGATAAGCCCAACTAAACGTGTACATATACGTGCATATGAGCGTCTATTCTGATACCGTCAACGATGGACACCTTTCACGCAGTTGATAGTGATGACCCAGACTTAACACATGTTCAACGGCAGGATCTAATTTACCTTTTCTTTGGTCAACTACCATCAAACTGGGTCGTTGGTTCAGTGAGAATTTTCAGCCGATCACGACTCTTCCTTGGCAGTCCTGGAGCGGTTGTTCGTGTTAGTCTTGCGCCCTTCATGCATATCATAGTGACTCACTACGTCAAAGACGGTCCAAAAGCACTCCCCTGAAAGGATGGCAAAAAATTATCTCGTTGCGCATTCCATCACCCTGCACGAGAACATTCACACCTTTGTTTCCAACGCCAGGATACCCTTGACTGGGTATCATCGGTTGGTCTGGCGAACGCAGGAGCAATGCCTTCCCCGGTGTTCTCGTGTGCTGCCATCGAAATGCTAGAACTCTGACGTTACGGAGGATACTTATAGGCGGCAAGTTGAGAAACTGAGTCGAAGATTGCAACGATTCCCACAGGCATTTTCAATCATCTTCAGAGGTGCCGAGGAAGTCACAGTCGTTAGGGCATCAATGCACCATTCACGCACTGGCAGCAGCTCGAGTGCTTCATCAAGCTGTGGTGGAGTTCCTCGTTCATGTTGAGTATGAAACTACCCACGAGCGCAGAGAAGTTGTTTGTATGAGTCCATGTATAATCTACGGATGCAAACGAGCCATAAAAGAACACACGATTTGAAGACTTACCTTGAAGTTGCTTTGAAAAACAAGCCTTCAACCACGTTTTAGGTCGCCCCGCAAGAGTCTCAGTACCCACATATCCCGCGTCAGGATTAGGAATTACAGAAAAAAACAAAGTGGAATGACTCACTTTCAGAATACTGTGTGGGAACTTCGATACGGCATGAATGCAAGACAAGATGTCGGGCGAAACTTCATATTACTCTACAGATGTTCCGGCACGCTTGTTAGCTAGGGAGGTACATACTGGATCGCATGAACATACTAGAAAGCACGACTCACTTTCAGACAGCTCCTGGGGATGTTGAACATCGAAATAGCCCCAGTCATTGAACTGCCTTGTAACATAACGAGCGCTGAGCAACTAGGATATAGCCTATGTAGCGATCAGCTCAGGAACGACGAGTGCCATTACCATGATTCGAAGTCGTTGCCATAAACCATCCATAGTACTGGTCCACTCTGTACGAAATTCAGTTCGAATCACTTGAAAGAGTGACTCGAGCAGATGCCTTGAGCAGGATCAGACGTTGTATATCGATGTTCGGAATATGTTGAAAGGATGGTTCCTGTCATTTATTGACCTGAGCAGCGATTATCGAAGTATCGAAAATGTCATACCCAGTGCGTGTCTTCATTCGGTGACTGCTCTGGGTGGCCGAGCCGCTGTCGACGCTCACTTAGTTGATACAATGTCTGCTCAATGTGTTGGAGCCTCTGCCTGATGGAATCGGAGTCGAGCCGTTACTCTAGACGGTGAACTCTGGAATCGTCCATCATCCGAACCAGTGTTTCACTCAAACCAGTGTTTCACTCACCTGGTCAAGCCTTGTATGGATGGGTTCGAAATCTGAGATGGCAATATTCTGGCGCAGTTTTCTCATAATTGCTGTGTGCGTTGGATCTAGTCAGTAGGAGATCATGCCACTGACAGGGGGCGCAACTTACAGGGGTAGGAGGCAAACCTTCTCAAGGAGGATGACTACTTCTACAATGTCTTGGTAGGTTGATGAATCTGAAGGAGGTCGTAGTCGCCGGAATCGAGATAACGGAATAGGTGGTACTTGAAGTCGGACCGACATTGGTGCTAATAGAAGACGATCATCAAGCAGCTACAGGAAGTGAGTGATTCGAGGTTGGGAGGTGTATCGCATGCATAGCCATGAGCCTCCTATCATATGCATGCATTACTAACCTTGAACGTGACATTGCTGCAGCCGTATTACTAGAGTGAAGCTATGAATGCGATGTGCACATGTGAAATGCGACTCGCGGTGTCAAAGAGTTTTTGAGGACGATGAGCTTGGGGCGTTGGTGGTTGTCTATTACGACGACAAGACTCAGAGAATTAGAAGTCCGACAAGCAAGCTCAATGTTAGCTTCACTTGTACTTTGCAAACGTCTTACGTAACGCCAAACTCCTCAATCTTTTCTCATACCAAGTGCAAGTTTGTGTGCTTCACGCCCTAATATTTACGATCTGAAAGGGGTTTTCCGGAACTCCGTGTTGCCCCGAATGCCTCGTGCTTGAAGTCACCGTTGGAGCAGGTCGGAGTTTGCCCTGAGGCTTGTGGCTAAGGGTATGACCTATTGTAAAGACCATCTTTTCTCGATCTACTTATCGCCTATTTCAGTCAGACTGATAAACGATGGGTCGATCGGGGCCCAACTAATGCTGTTTCACAGGGAGGTCCGTGCTGGAGCTTGGAGACCAAGAATTCCTGTGAGCTTCAAACAAGTTCGGGCCATTTCAAGCCTGAATCTTCTCCGTCCGTGATGGGAAAGAGAATTTGGAAGAACGTTGTGGACAAGGAGAGGAGAAATGGGTGCAAGCTCCACGTACGTGTATTCCCATGTTGTCGATGGCGATCGGCATGATAGAACCAGACTGAGATCGATAGCCTTGCTGCTCTTATCCAGATGATCCGTACCGATATCGATCGCTCAGCACATTGCAAGATAGATTGTATTTTTGGCATACGATACAAAACCGCTGGAGGCGATAGAAATTCACGGGCAAGAAACTGATCAACCAGCTGATAAATAATGAAATCGTACT